ATTTATGCTATTAGCAACAAAGCACTAGTTTGATGGCTTTTGTGTCTTATTTAGCACTATGCCAATATTTTTTTTCCTTAATCATCCAAGTTTGCATCTACATTGATTGCATGATCCAAATAATGATAGCCCAAACAAGTGCATCATCTGGCACTTATAATTAAAGGTAATTTACTAAATATTTGTCCAAATTACCAATTTATCAGTCATTTTGTAGTACCTCAACATCCTGAATACAGCTAGAAATTCTCAAGTTTAATACCATCTCTAGATTTTACTAATTATGTCTCTATCAGTATCATTAATGTAAATATGAAAAATTAAAGGCCCAATCTGACCTGTGATGTACCCCACTAGTAACAAGAATCCAATTTTTCATTAAGAACAACCTTTTGCTTTCTCCCATCCAACCATACTACAATCTAATTAACTGGTCTTTCCCTGGCCCATATTGACATTATTTTAGTAGCTAATATTTTTGTGTTGCTCCTTATCTAAGGCCAAATACACCAAGTTCATACCATTTCCTTCATGCAGATGACAAGTAGCATCCAAAAAAAGAGATGAAATAGTGAGACAAGATTTTCCATTGGTGAATCAATGTTCACATTTATTTATGATATATTTCATATAAATAGTTTTATAAAGTTTATCACATCCTATAATTTTTACCAATTACAATAATATGACTAACTATACTTTTGATGGCAGTTCATCACCTTCTGTAAAATAGGAGTAACATTAGAAGTTTTCCAATCCTTGGTCATTTGGCTAACAAAGGCTAAAGAGAAACTTTCATCTGATCTTGGATCTTCAAAAGCGTGAAATATATTACCAAATGAGGATCCAAACTTTCAATAGTACAGATTTTCATAATTAACTGAAGATGTGATTTATTTTACAGGTAACCTAAGTAAATGAAATAAAACATTCTCCTGTAGTTTAAAAATGCATTGTACAGAACAGTAATCATGTACTTGGTACTACATGTAATTCTTGTATAGTTATGTACGGTAAGCTTGAATTGCAAGAACTGAAGCTGACTTGAGGAAAACAATCTTTATTTCACATGTACTGTTCCAATCAAGTTATCAGTCAGCCTTTTAGTTTGAACTTGTTATTAAACATACCCAATATATATGATAAATAAAAAGCGATATAGAAGAGTGACACTAAAGTTTAATTTAGAAAGTGAATATGAACATCATTGTTAATTATACATATATAATTTAAGGACAACAATGGACTTGTTGGTCCACCTAGACTGTCTCATCTGTTAAAATGAACTTCATAATAAAAATAAAACCAGCCTTTATCAATCAAATATTTATCTCTGTTAAATTAACTGCATCTGCCACATCTGAATTCAACTGATTCCCAAGGCCAACCACCTGGTTAGAACAATGAAGTTGCCTTAACTGAAGATGATTTTTAGTACAAAAAGAAGAGATTATGCATCAACACAAATTCCCTTAACATTCATAAACACCTCAATCGCATCCTCTCTAAATTTTCTTTTTTCGTCAAAATAAAATAATTTTAGGGATCTTAACGTGTACTTGTGTGATAACTTTCTATCCCAGGTATCATCCTAGTAGCCCTCTTGTGAACCTTTTCCAACAATTCAATGTCCTTCTAAGGTAAGGCATTCAAGATTAAATGCAGTACTTCACAAGTGGCCTAACTAATGATCTGTACAATGAAATTATAACCTGTCTAGACTTTTATTTACTATTGATGTAGATGCATCCTAAAATTATACTTCTCCTGTTACTAGCAACAGCTAAATTCCTGTAATTGGTTCATGTATCACTAATAGTCTTTATCTTTTCACCTCCTACTTTTCTGGGATAAAATTTCCTTCTGTGTAACATTTGGACACTAACCAAGTAGAATTTTTGGCGCCCAACCAGTGAAAGTGGGTTTTCTCGAGGCACTCTTGTTTCCCACCAAATCTAAACCTGATGAGTTGTTTGAGGTTACTGTTTACTTGGAGAAAAGCAGAGTGGTTGGAATTACAAGACAACAATATGGCTTTTTATATCTTCTCAGGTTTTTTTGTTGTGGATTACTGAATGAACCAAAAGAAAAGATATTTCATGTAGCAGTTGTTAATAGTCATAAACCAAGAGCTGGATGAAGTAGTAATGCATGATCTTTAAACATTTCTGTTTTATATAAACCTAAATACTTGCCACACTTGTCTTAAAATCAAGTACCTTGTCATCAGCATCCTTTAAGGGACTAATTCCCATTTTACACATTTGATTTACTCTGAACATGCATATAAAAATCCTTGATGTTTTCTCATAAGCCATTTAGTTTTTAGTTTGTTTAAATCAAATCACTAGCTTTCCTATAGTTCTGTAAAATTTTCCAACCTTTATGTTGATTTAATTAAGTTTTTCCTCATTTTTCTACTCTATGTTTATAGTAAACTAATTATATTTGATCTTCCATGTTATCCATTTCCTTTTTTTTTTTTTTAGGAATGTGCATATTTTGGAATCTTGTTCCATGGTCTCACAATCTAGTTTCTAAAAGTTAAAAACTAAAATTTAGTTTCTCTTTATCTTAGCTTGTACCAAAATGCCAAACCTAATCATGCAGTAATCATTCTTCCCGAAATGTTCCTCTACAACTCTAGCAACCATATCTTCATTAGTGATAAGCAATAATTCTAAAATGGTGTCTTTCATGCTAGGCTTTTTAACTATTTGGTAGAAAATCCTCCTGAATCCTTCTTTTAAAAAAATCCCTTTATCTGACCCCGTGCAATCCCAATTAGTGCATCTAAAACTAGATCTCTCTACATTATTTCTTTGGGATCTGACAAAGTGCACCCATTGTCTGAGGGCAAAATTGCACCATAAAATTAAAAAAATATATTAGAAAATAAACTTTTAGTCATTCTTTTAAAGGTTTTTGTTTTGTTTTAAATACTTCAGTGTGAAAGTTTCAGTTATTTAATTTTATACATAAATAATTTTTAATTACATATTTTAGTTTTGGGTTGAATTACCTGGTTTTTGTTCTGAGCATAATATGGTACTCATAGCCAACCATTGTTTCTCAACCTCAGTTATCATAGTGTGATGTAATTACTTATAGATTTAGGAAACCATGGACTAGTAATCAAAACCTGTAATGAAAGCTTTTTGTCTGTTCTTTTCATCTGGGTTCCAAGTCAGTAGAAACTTCGTGATAAGTTGGTACAAAGAAAGATGCTAGTGAACACATCCGCCAGAATAACAGTTCTGATTGTTACTTTTTAAAGGTTGCTTTATCATTTTGTTCTTCGTTTGGGTATCATTGTTGCAATATTATAGGAAAAGAAATGTTTTTGTGTAAGAAGATGAGATAGGCTTACTTAGGTCATTTTGTACTTGACAGTATCAAGTTTTGTTTCATTGAAAAGGCCATTGGTTGCTGCTGTTTGTTAGGTCATGTTCACATTAGGCCTTATCAGCCTAATAACTATAGGAATGGGCAAAGAAAATAAGTGTAAAACAAGTGTATATAAATGAATATGTAACAAGTTTAATACTTATTACATATTTTGAATTAAACTATGATTAACAATTTGACAGAAATTGGCTTTCTTATCATATTAATATGGTAAAAAAAAAATTGTGATTGTAAAAATAATGAAACTGTGAAGTGTTTCTCAATTCAAAACTGAGGTAAAATGTACAGTTTTATGAAATAGAAACTATTGGAAAGTTTCACAAGAATTGAGAAATACCTAAAAATCTATTATTAAAATGCACAGTAAAGGTTAAATTTTCTTTAAAAATACACCAATAATACCTTCAAATCTGTGAATTCCTACAAATATCACATATAAAAAAACTTAGCAGATGCAACATAATCTGCAGAAAGTTCATCATAAGTTTTGGAATATTTCACCTAATATATTTTTTCCAGTGTAATAAAACAAATCGTACAGTAGGTGCATCAAATCACTGACCACTGGTACATTTAAGATTTAATAAAGAATACTAATAAGTGATAATCAGTGGAATTTGCATGACAGGAAAAAATGTAAATATATATATATATTTAACAAAAGTGATTCTCAGAAAGAAATGATCAGAAATATAACTAACAAATGGACAGCAAGAGACCGTTTGGTCCTTTTAGGCTGTCCTTGTATACCCACACTAGAGATGAAGTGAAAACTTAGAACTACACTTATATAGAATAAGACTTTTTTCACAATCAGTTGATCACTATAAACTTTCAGCCCAGTCAGATTTGTTATCCAGGACAATTAAATATTCATCTATATGTATTATTATTTACATACCTTAATTAATATTGATTACTATATAGTGAAGTAAAACAGACTCAAAACACTATTGGTGTTCATATTTTAGTTTGCACTACTATTAGGTGCAAATAATGAATCTAAAGATGTGCATTGTAATACATCTTATACCGGGCTGTCTTGAGTCTAATACAACATTATCACTCGTTTAACTGGAATGAAGGAGAACTACCATACCTCAAAACTGCAGTATTCGATCAAGTTAAGGGACTTGTTGGTATTCTGAGGAAATATGTTTCATATTGAATGATACCACTGCAAGATAAACGAACACCCTAGTGCTGAATTTTATTGCTAAATTAAATTGTCTCAAACTTTTTTTTTTGAAAGAAAAAGGTTAAAAGGAGTGTGTTTTAACATATTTGCAATGTAACAAAACATTCTGGTTTTTATAATTTGGTCATGATTTACAAGTGAGTGTTAATACTAAACACAAGTTTAATCCATTATCTAATTTTATCTTTTGTCATCTATCTTATCTAGGTTAAGTACTAGTCTACAGCAATGCAGATTTTTGTGAAAACGTTGACTGGAAAAACCATAACCCTTGAGGTTGAGCCATCAGATACCATTGAAAATGTCAAGGCAAAAATTCAGGACAAAGAGGGTAAGGGCAGATATAGCTGAGGGCACTGGGAAGTGTGATAATTATTCTTGATGAACCCTCTCCAGATGGGTAATGGTAAAAACCCATGTCATTGCATTTGTTGAACTATGTCAATAAGTTTCGTATCAATCTGTAGATTATAATTTAATTCTAGTATTAAACATTATTTAATTAAACATCAATTTTTGTGTGTCTCGTAGTATGTTGAATGCAGCACTGGTTCAAATTACATGTTTGTGATGTCAAAATACTAAGTCTGTAGTTTCGTACAAATTAGGAACTCAAATTACTGATATTGACAAGCTAGAGTATAAAATAAGAACCTCGTATCTTTTATGTTTGCTGAGACATCATTCATTTACTGAATCAAACATGGTAGCTCTGCTTACCTCTTTCCATTTTTGGAAATGTTCCCTTGTATACACTTACTTCAATATATGACGTGAATAACCAATCGAAAGCTCAGAATGTCCCCCTAGTGGCTTTCTCAGCCATTTTCATGTGTTAGGATGCCTTCTCATTGTTTTGAACCAAGATTTCAAGGAGGTAGGTTGTATCTTTAGTCTGCTCAGTTACTAAGCTTGATAAATTATTGTGGAATTCTGTGGTATCAATATTGTAATTTATGATTTTTTGATTATTTAACTGCATATATACAACCAAAAAAATTTTTTTCATATACTTCATGTGCAAAATTTTGAAAGGCTTAGCAACCAAGTACAAAAGTTGTAACTGGAAGATATTAATGTTTGCTTTACTTCTTTATTTACTGTTCTATGTTTTAAGAAAAATAAGTTTAAGAACTTATTTCTAAATTGTAATAATCTATATACATAGAGTATATATAATAATTAAAATGACTGAATTTTACAAAATACTAGTGTACTAAAACACAGCCAAGACGGGTCACTTTGTAAAGGCTAAAGATCAGTTTTATATTATTGGATACGGTAACATGAGAGCATGTATGCTTGGTCATTATAACTTCTGTATTGTTATCCAGGCATGACTGAAAGGTCAATATATTAAATATATATAATAGTATAATATTATGAGATTTAAGCTATTTAGTCTAAACGTTTGTTTCGTGTTATAATTTGTGTTCATTCTAGAACGAAAGAGGCTTGATTTAATTATTCCTAATTTTTTATGGTAGTTACAAGACCGGTCAAATCCACCAAACGTGCAGAGATTCGTTAGTGAAAATAAAAGATAAAATATAGTTTTTTTCTTAAGAAATCTTTAATAACTATCTGGACATTATAAAAGATTTTGCATGTGAAATTTGAAAATTTTCTGATGCATAAAACTATTATTAATCTTAAAATGAAAATTACTTTGCATGTTGGATAGGCAACATGCAAAAAGGCATGTGAAAACATTGCTTAATAAGCCTTAAGACTTAATGAAAAAAAATGGATATTTTGTGTATGAAAACATTGTAATATTCACTGATAATCTGCCAAGTTGCATTAACATGCTCTTACTAATTTAGAAGTTATAGCAGGAAAACTATAACAAACTCAAAATGGTTACGAGGTCAGTCCCAGGGACGGAGCATGTGCTGAAAGAGTTAAAGAAGTGATTTTGTTTTCATCTCTGAAGTTAGCTTTAACAATGATAATGCAGAAAAATAGTATATAAATAGAACCATATTCAGCAGTAAAGTATGAACATTTTTACACCAAAAGAACAAATTTGAATCTCTCTTTTAGAATTTTTCCTCTGGAATGCAGATAATTTTAGTCAATGTTTGAAAAAAAAATATTCCCATATCTTTTAAGATTATTGTAAAATATACAAACTGTAACATTTTTTTTCTTTGTTTATGCCTTATTTGATTTTGTATTTTTCAGTTTTTCAAATACAAATAATATGAAGAAGTCTTGAGTAATTGCAATGTTAAATTCCCTTCAAAACTTTTTTTTTTTTGACTTATTTGTATTTGTTGAATTTTTTCATAAATCTAATTAACAATTTGGTTTTGTTCAGCTTCTGCTGATGCAAAACTTTTTAAAAGTAATGAAATTTATGGATGAAAACATTAAATTTGATAAGTTTTCCAAATCAGATTGGTTATTTGTCAGATGTGAATTGTCATTTCAAACTGCTTTGCATGCAACTGCTAGCATCATTAAGTTTTAACCAAGTTTCCTTTGACTTTTCCACTGTTTGAGATGATAGCTGTAATGATATCATTCATTTTGATGTTGGATCATGAAGTTGTGAACGGTTTAACAGAGTTTGGTATCAATCTGTAGATTATAATTTAATTCTAGTATTATACATTATTTAATTAAACATCAATTTTTGTGTGTTGCGTAGTATGTTGAATGCAACACTGGTGCAGATCAAATGTTTATGATGTCAAAATACTAAGTCTAAAGTTTCGTATGAATTAGGAACTCAAATTACCAATATTAACAATCTAATATAGAAAATAAGAACTTCTTATTTTTTCTATTTGCTGAGATATTGCTTATGTACTGAATCAAATACAGTGGCTTAACTTAGCTTTTTCCATTTTTGGAAACAGTCCCTTATATACACTTCTGTATATGACGTGAATAACCAATTGAAAGCTCAGAATGTCCACCGAGTGGCTTTCTCAGTCATTTTCAAATGTTACAACATCATTACGTTCTTTCAATACAAATCTTCATGCTGGTAAAGTGAGCTTAAATTTAATATTTTTTTTAGCCCTACATACAGCTTAGTTACTAAGTTTGATAAATTATTGTGGAATTCTATGGTATTGATATACTAATTTATTATTTTTGAATATTTCAAATCTATATATATAAAACCTAAAAAATTTATTTCATTTCGCATCCGCTATGTGCAAAATTTGATAAGGCTTAGCAACCTATGGCAAGTAGCAAATGAGTACAAAGTTTGTAACTAGAAGAGATAATTGTTTGCTTTACTTCTTTATTTACTGTTCTATGTTTTAAGAAAAATAAGTTTAAGAACTTATTTGTAAATTGTAATAATGTATGTACATATATATAGTGTATTATAACTATATATATGCATTTGGACTAGTAATGAAACAGACTCAATATATTCACAAACGAATTTTTAGTAAAAATGCTTCATTAAAAAATCTTATTTTTTGTGTACAAAAGAGTTGTAATGTTTACTGAAAGTCTACCAAATTTTCTGAAGATACACATACAGCATTAAAAGTTATAGTATAAATACTAAAAGCTCGCATGTGTGTATGAACTCGTGTATTTTATACCGAGCCCATCAGGAAAGGGTTAATTATCTAGGCTGCCTACTTTGTTTTACCCACCATCGTGCCCCAAAGTAAGCAAATAATGCAGTTTGGCTAACTAAAGAATGAATATTTGCTGTAAAGTTCTTATCACTGCTATAAGGGTAGTTACTAGTATAGCCACCAATTTTAATTTCATTCCTTTTAACTCTTCAGCACGGGCTCTGTCCCTAGGATTGACCTCGTAACCATTTTGAGTTTGTTATAGTTTTCATGCTATAACTTCTAAATTAGTAAGCGTATGTTAATGCAACTTGGCATATTATCAGTGAATATTACAATGTTTTCATATGCAAAATATAAATTTTTTTCATTGAGTCTTAAGGCTTGTTAAGCAATGTTTATTTCACATGCCTTTTTTGTCCTTTCGTATGTTGCCTATCCAACATGCAAAGTAATTTTCATTTTAAGATTAAAAATGATTTTATGCATCAGAAAATTTTCAAATTTCACATGCAAAATCTTTATAATGTCCAGATAGTTATTAAAGATTTCTTAAGAAAAAAACTATATTTTATCTTTTATTTTCAATAACAAATCTCTGCACGTTCGGTAGATTTGACCGGTCTTGTAACCACCATAAAAAATTAGGAATAACTAAATTACGCCTCTCTCATTGTAGAATGAACACAAATTATAACACGAAAACATAAACGTTTAGCTTAAATAGCTTAAATCTC